TTCTCAGAGTGCAAATTGAACCTTTGGGCTCAGCCTGGAGAAAGGAGAGCTGGGTAGGGGTTAGAAGCAAGTTTGAGCTCCAGAGAATGACAATTCTCCCTTACCAGTACATTCTTATCGCAGGATGAAGTTACTGCGGCCTTTGAGCAGCTACAGCTTAACCTTGTTACACCAGGCTGATGGTTTTAATCAGCAGGCAAGAGACCAGAGAGGGCACCTAGAAAGCAAAACTGAGCCTTATGTTTAAACCCAACCTATATATCTGTTAGAAAATTAGAGACTGTGCTGGACCCTGGGGCTGGACCCAAAATGCAAATGGCTTAGTGGGAGTGTAAAACTTTCCTTTCTTAGGCAATTATGGAAAAGGCTTTTACAGTCTTTATTAAGAATCATTATTTTTCTTAATGTTTTTCAGAAAATTTATAGGGAGTAGTACGTATTCTTTTGGTTATGAGCAGGTTTTTTTTTTTTGGAATCTGTGTACTCTGGGGTGTATGTATGAATAACTAAGATAGTTTTCCTGAGCATTACAGAAAACAGTATTTTAAATTAAAAATTGCAGATGATTGTTATTACATTATAGTACCTAAAAACATAAGTAGCTCAAATCTATTGATTTGGTCTGTTGAAACATTCAGTGTTTGTCAAAGCAGTGCAGTAATCTGCACTGTATCCAGGGCTGCAGCAGAACATCCATAAATGCAGACAGATATAGATATGCATATATTTTGAGGAAACAAACTGCCTGGGATTCTTTGCTGTTTATGTTTTTATGTTTTCTTGTATTTTTGGTTTTACTGTATTTATGATTATTTCAGAACGTGGCCTGAATCCCAACAGTTCTTTGTGGGATACGGATTACAAAAGACTGTTGCACAGTAAGAAAACCCTTTGTGGGACCGTGGCCTCTTACAAACCCTCCAGCTCATTCAGAAGCAGCTCTCTCCTGAGTTACCATGGAAGGAGAAGTTTGCTAAGTCAGAACCTAGACCAGAAGCCACAAGAAAAGCAGTTGTCCTGTGATATGCTCCTTAAACTCTCTAGATACATTTTAATGGATATCTTTAGTCCTAGCTTGGCCTGGAATCTCTTTCGGTTTTGTAACTGTGATCGAGAAGTCAACCTCCCCAAAATCCGTATCAGTCCCTCCAAAGTGGCCCAGCACAAGGTGAAGCCGTTCCTGCTGCGCAGGATGCTCCAGCTCCTCAGGAATATGGGAGTGCTGTTTGAAGCTCAGCAGTCCAAGGCCTTCTCTCTGCTCAAGAACCAAATGATTAAACCAAGGAAAACGCCGTTAAAGCCCGAAGAGGAGCAAAGTGGTAGGTACACAAGGAGGAGATGTGGGTTTGGTATCTCTTTCGGGTGCTGTCTGAGCAGAATCGCCGGGCCGGGCATCACTGGGTGCAACCCAGTGGTCCCGATCCGTGCCAGGAGGTGCACTCGGCGTTCGGGCTGAGCAAAAGGCGGGACGCGGGGTGCTCGTCCCTGGGCAGGAGGGCTGACAGGAGGGCAGGAGGGCTGACAGGAGGGCAGGAGGGCTGACAGGAGGGCAGGATGCTCCCGGGTGCGGGCGGGTGTTCCCGGCCCGCGGGCAGAGGCTGTGCAGGGGCGCCGCCTCCCGCCCGGCCGCGGCTCTGCAGGGGCAGCTCCTGTTCCCCCCGCGGAAGAGCGGAGCCGTGTCCGTGTCCGTGCCCGTGTCCGTGTCCGTGCCCGTGTCCGTGTCCGTGGGGGCTCCGGGCACGCAGGTTTGGTGGCTGAGCTGGCGCTGAGCGCACCAGACCCCCCCACGGCCGGGGTTTATCCCGCGGCGCCTCCAGTTCCCTGCTCCGTGGGAACGGGGTGTTGCTCAGGGGATGCTGCCTCCGCTTCTCCTTCCTTTCTCGGAGCAGTCAGGAGGAAACAGGAAACTGCCCAGTGAGGGAGTGTGCCCGGGAAAAAAAAAAAAACCACTTACAGAGGAGGAACCATCCTCCCTGGAGTGCCCGGGAAAACCGCTCACAGAGAAGGAACCTCCCCGCATTCCCGTGTGAGAGCTGAGTCCCTGGGAAGGGATGTCTGTGCCTTGGGTGTCGATTCCGGCAGGCGACTCATTCGGAGCAGCTTAGTTCTCTGTCCTTGCCTTAACATGAAGGTTCTCAGCCATCGATATTTGTTATTGAACGTTACAGCTGTGTTTGTAGGCAAAGCATCACAGTCCTCGCAACGTGCCGTCGAGGTCGTCTTATTCCTGGCAGCCCGTTACAGAAAATGACCCATTTTTGTTTGTTAGAAAGGTAAACTACAGTTTATAACTCACCATAGCACTCGGAGGAGGGTTGGGGTTGGTGATTTTTGTGAGGAAGAGTTACACCAGGCGTCTGTTGGAGGCAGTGAGTATTAGTCATGATTTCTCACTTGCAGGTGTGAGGATGTTCAGGAATGTTCTCGTGCTGCGGATGCATCCTGTAATGGAGTGCTGTGGTAAAGCTTCAACACAGTGCTGCTGCAAAACAGAAATCAGCGTGGAAAATGACATTTGTAAAAGAGTGAAAGGAAAAGAGTTTACCTCTCAAGCACCAACCTAGAGATAGTAATGGGTGCTTCCATGTTTACCTTACAAAGAGATAGGAATCTTTAAAAACCAGGGTAATATATCCAGTCTCAGTCTGAAATTTTCTTCCTTAGGCCAGTGAAAACTTAATGTGGGGTGAAATGGCGCTGAAATCATTCACCTGCGAGTAGTTCTTTCAAAAAAAAGAATCAAAACAGTCTATTTCTATGGATTCTGATGCTACAGAGGAAAAGCTGTTTTGAATGATGTGAATGAACAGTGCTCACACCTCAAAAATTTTGGTTTCTTGGTCAGGAAAAGTCCTAGGTAAGCAGGAGTGACTTTGGCTTTGTTGATTGTTTCATGAGGCCTGCAAAAAGCTTAGCATTAACCAAAGCCTGGCTTATATTTACTTCCACTATATTAGATTAATCATTGTTGCCTTTTATTTAGATTGCAAGTCTGCTGAATCTTTTACATGAAGTAAATATTTTAAATAGCAATGTATGACGTTTCTAGGGCTCGGGCAGGTGTGAAGTAGAGGTTCAGGTCCTCTTCTAGCTCAAATTTTGAACTTCTAAAGCCATTGAATTCAGAGAATTTAGTATGTTTTAAGACAAAATACTGCTATTTGTCTCGTCTTGCCTGAAATTTCCACCAGTAGATAAATCTTTTTTTTTTTTTTTTTTTTTTTTTTAAATTGCTACTTCTGGTAGCAGCTCTGCTTTCCCATGACCTGCATTCATATGTGTCATATTCAGATAAGGAGGAGGCACAACGCTGACTAATGCTGCTTTTTTGGAAGGAAAATGACAAAAGCTATTTGAGACAGGAATAGAAGTGCCAGCACTAAATGACAGATGAACAGCCGGTAGCAAAGGTGGCAGCTCTAACGCTTCCCTGTATTTATGGAGCACTGAAACAAGGGAGTGTTATCGGGACTTGTTTCTCTGGGCTGGATGCTTATCTTCAGATTCAGCAATTCTCTGGGTCCCAGGACCAGGTGTAAGAGAGTGGATGGGTTTTGTTTAGCATAAGTGAGTGTTGCTCCCTCTCCAGAGCTGCTGTCTGAGGCGTGGGGCATGGCTGTGCCCCTCACCCACCCTCCTGCTTCCAGTCTGTTCCCATATTTTGTCTGACAGCACTTGCTCCTTATTAACATGACTATAGCTTCTTTGTGCCCTCTGTCAGAAGAAATCCTGCACCAGAATAAATTTCAGAGGTGACAGATTGGAACAGTTTGACCAGATGATGGCACACAAATGTCTCAGAGACCGACAGCACCTGTGGCTCTGCACCTCTTTGGCTTTGGCCCTGGGCAGGAGCAGTGGCTGGCACTGTTGCCTGCCCACTTTCAGCTTGTCCTCTCTGGATCTTGGGTTGTGGAGTGGAGATGAGGGATTACAACCCTGGGAGAGAGAAGGCAGTGGCTGCAGTAAAATAAATAGAGGTACCTGTATTTATGTGCCACACAGAAGCTCAGTTGTGTTGTATTTTAGGGCCTATAAAAAACTGTGATGTTCTGGTACGTGGAAAATGAACCAGTGTGTGATGGTCAGTGATAGGTGTGATGATGTGACAGACAGTGCCATGTCCTTTGAGACTGGAACCTGCAATGCCAGGAAGGCAGCCCCAGGCCAGGGGGCTAAAAGCATGTGTTTTTCTTTGAGGCTGTGTCTTGTCAGAGAACGTTCTAAGCCTTTTCCTCTCACTGCAGACTCTGACTACAGGTTGATTTGACAGATGATGGGAGGTGAAGTGCCTCTCTGCTCACCCGCTGTCAGGGGAGCATTTGCAGCTGTTGGGTTACAGTGTTGTCCATAGATCTGCCAGACATAGGACAGCACAGGGCAAAACACCCCCACGGGAAGGTGCCAGAGGGGTCAGCTGTCCCCCAAGAAGGGCCGAGGCATGCCAAGCCCCAGTGAGTACATCAGGGTCTGGGGCTGGAGCGCCTCAGCCCCCTGCCCTTGGGAAGGCAGCTGGCACCCAGCAGCACGCTTTGCTCGGGGCTGCCGAGCCCAGCCGGGTACTTAGTGGGTCTGCACAGACCTCCCGAGCCCCGCTCCCCATCACCCCGGGATGCTCGGCGAGGAGCCCGTAGCTCCCGGGGCTCGTAGCCGGAGAAGACCTTTCCGTGCGGGCAGCGGGACTCCCTCCGGTCCCGGGCATCAGGGCGCCCGTCGCAGATATACGTCCAGGCTGGAGGGATCGTCCCCGGCTGGGAGGAGCCAGCGGCTCCGCCGCTGTAAACAGTGCGGGCACCGCCAGCGGTTGGGAGATGGATATAAATAGGGAGGCGGAGGGGAGGCAGCCGGAGCGGCGGAGAGGGAGCTGCCTGCGCCTGCCTGCCCCTGCCCTGCCTGCCCCGCTGGGTGCCTGGCAGCCCGGGCCGGCAGCTCCGAGAGGCGTCGGGCAGAGTCCGCGGTCGGCGCTGCCGGGACGCTCCAGGTAAGCGTCTGCAGCGAAGTTTGGAACGCGCCGGTGCCGCTCGTCGATCCGCCGCTGGGTTTGCTCCGCGCCGGCTCCCTCTGTCCGCGCTGCTGCTCTGGTGCCTCGCCGTGTCCGGGGTTGTGTGGAGCGGGGAGGGGGATTCTGCTTTCGTTTTTGCGACGTTAAGTGAAAGGGGGGAAAAAAGGAAAAAAAAAAAACCAAAAACAAACCCGAACAACAAAACCAAAACACATCGAAAGCCAAATGTGCCGCTCGCCGGCTCCGTGCAAAGCCGCGGCGCACGTGTTGCGGGCGGGGGCGGCCCCGCGGCCCCGGGATGCAGGTAGAGGCTGCGGGACCGCCCGGGACGTGCCGAGCGCGGGGAGCCCCGGGGAGCCGTGGCTCCTGCTGCCCTTCGCGCCGGACCCGGAGACAGTCCTGGTCCCGGTGCCGCCGCGGGACGCGCCGTGGAGCAGCGAACGGCGGCAGCGCATCAGGTCGGTACCGCGCCCCTCCGCGCCCCTCCACCTCCCGGCCCCGCCGCCGCTGCCGCCGCCCGTCTCTTGCAGGGCCCTGCCCGGAGGCCGTTCCGCACCTCGCCCCGTGGCGACCCGGCTCCGACACCCGCCGCGCCGCCGTGGTGGGCCGGGGGGCGGCCCTGCGCCTCGAGAGCTCCGCCGCCTTCCACTCCCTCGTCATCCGCGACGGAGGTAAGCGGGGCCGCCGCCGTCCCGGAGCCCGGGTACATCGGGGGGCGGCCCGGCCGTGCCCGCCGGTGGGGGCACCTCCCGGCCCGGCGGTTCGCGCACCCAGCCCCGCTCTGCTCCCCTCGCCACGCAGGGATGCTCGTGTTCGCCGACCGCCCCCACGGGCCGCCCATCACCCTGCGGGCCCGCTACATCCTCATCCACGACGGCGGGGAGCTGCATATCGGCTCGGAGCGCTGCCCCTACGGGTCGCGGGCCACCATCTCACTGTACGGGCGAGCCGCCGAGGGGGCGGCCGTGGAAGGCTTCGGGCAGAAGTTCGTGGGCGTGGGTCCCGGCGGCGTCCTGGAGCTGCACGGCCGGCGCCCCCGCTCCTGGACACTCCTGGACAAGACGCTGCACCCCGGCGGGCTCCGGCACGGCCCCTACTTCTCCGAGAGGCGGTGGGGCAGCCGCGGGCTCAACCTCCGCGTCCTGGACGGCGGCACGGCGCGGGTGCTGGCGGCGGGGCGCTTCGACACCCACCTGCGGCCGGGCGAGGGCCAGCGGCTGCGAGCCTTCCTGGCCCGGCAGCCCCCCGGCAGCGTGGTGGCGGCGGCCGTGGGGGACTCTGCCGCCCGCAGCCTCACGCCGCAGACGCGGCTGCTACTGCGGGACCGCCTGGGCAGCAGGTTCATCGCCCGCCTGGGATACAGGTGAGGCGGGGGCGGGAGCAGAGGGGGCGGGAGCGGAGCCACCATGGACAGCTCCGCTCGGGGCCGCGCTCCGCCGGGGGCTCGTCCCGACCGAGGGGCGGAGCGGGGCTCGGCCCGGCCCGGCCCGCGGGCGGGGGGCCGCGGGTACCCCGGGTAGGGATGCGGCGGGCAACCCGTGCCAGAGGGAGGGAAGTCGTGTCTCGCTGCTTGCTCCCTCCTGCCCAAGATTTCTGCTGGGTGGAGGGTTCGGGATGTCACTGGTTTGCTCATTCCCTGTCTCCTTCAGGCAGCCCTGGGCGTTGGTGGGGATCCTTGGAGGGGATCAGCTCTCCACAGCAGAAGATAAGCGGGAGTATCACGGAAATGGAACAACGGGGTTAGCCATAGCCCAAAGAGATTTCCTCACCTACGACGGCACCCGTTTCACTGTTACTGCTTTCAGTGGGTGGATAAAAGGTTCAGTCTTCCCTGATAATTGCTTGTCTTCTGTTGCTTTACTTTGCTTTTTTTGGCTGCCATGAATCTGAATAGTGAAATGATAATCATACCATAAACTTGGCTCGTGTGGACAGTGACCAAACTAACAGCAGTTCTCTCTCAAAGTAACATTTCAGCTGCCTACAAAGAGATGGCACTGACATATTTAATGGCTAGAGCAGTCCTATCATGCACAGAGTTAACTAGATAAAAATTAAATTGGTATGCTCTTCAGTTAATTGCATGATTCTGCCATGTGCAACTGTAAAAATAATTGATTGCTTCATTTTTCAGGGGTGCCTCATAATGGCTTTAAAGTGGAAGTGACCAAAGGAATAATTATTCATCTGGTGGATGAGGTTACAAGCTGGCTACCTGGTGACCGTATCGTCATTGCCAGTACAGACTATTCTATGCATCAGGCTGAAGAGTTTAATCTCCTTCCTTGCCCTGAATGTAAAAGTAATCAAGTGAAAATTGATGGTATGAAGTATTTTTATCAAACTACTTGTTTGCAGTAACTATTTACATTGTCTCATCTTTTACATTCTATTTACCTTTTTAACTCACGGGCACACATGAGAGCTGAAGGGCCCAACATTATATTGGGACTTGAAAGTTTGTCCAGAGGCAGCAGTCCTTTGTAGCAGCCTGGGGAAGTGTTGATCTCTTCTGGAATCAAATACTGGGTACATCCCCAGAATTGGTGATTTCTTAAATGAAAGGTGTACACTTGCTCAGACCAATACAATAACACAGATGTTGTGCTCACTCTGAATTAAAAGGTTTTTGATTTCCACAGGCAGCCCACTTTATCTTCACATTGGAGAAATCATAGATGGCGTTGACATGAGGGCAGAGGTTGGTCTTCTGACTAGAAATATACTTATTCAAGGAGAAATGGAAGACTCCTGTTATGGACAAAACCAATGCCAGTTTTTCTCTTTTGATACATTTGGAGGACACATTAAAGTGAGTGATTTTTAATGAATGTGCTTGTAGGTGGTTTCTGATAGTTCCTTTCCTTTGTAAGCAAGTGAAAGGATTAATGCATGAAACTAACATGGTGTCTGGGGGAAAAGGTATATCTGTCTATGAAAAAGCGGGAAGTTTGTTGGCCTGTTTTGCAAAGGACTTGCTATAAGTCTGTTCCATTTTCTTCACTGTGCAAAAAGATACCCTTCTCTGGGCTAGAGGGGATTCTTCAGCTGTGTTGCTGTCAGTAGAGTTAATCTGAAGTTAGTTCACAAGATATCACTGAAGAAATTGTGCTTCCTGCAGAGCAAACCTGCTCCTGCAGAGAAGTGCTGGGTCTCACCCGGTTGTGCTTCATGCTCTAGGTGGAGATGCAGAGTCTTGCTGTGGTGGGGGCTTTATGTAAAGCTGCTCCTCCACCAGTGGCTGGAAATCAGGGAGCTGTGCAGGTCTGGGCTAAAATCACTTGACAGAGTAAAAGCTGCCAGGAAATAGAGCCTGGTGGCAAATGCTCCCCCTTTCTGTAGTTGGCAGGAGTACTGTGTCTGTCACTGCTATTGCTAAACACTGCACATGCTGTTTGGCAGCTGCTCCTTGGCAGCCCGTAGGTGTGCAGCTGCTGGCACAGGGCTCTGCAGGTCCTGAGCTGTTGTGAGTGGAAATAGGGAGCTGACACTTCCTCCTGGGATCAGACCCCGTTTTACTCTGCAAACATATTGCCTAATGAGAGAAAAAAAGCCCAAACCTGTTTTTCTTTCTGTGTGTGTTTCTATTGTAATGCTTTACTTGGATCTACATTTGTCTCAACAGATCCTAAGGAATTTCAGCTCTGTTCACATGTCAGGAGTGGAATTAAAAAACATGGGGCAGCAAATCCTGGGCAGTTACCCTGTGCATTTTCACCTGGCTGAGGATGTGGATGAGAGAGGGGGATATGGACGCCCAACGTACCTCGATAACCTGGCTATCCACCACTGCTTCTCTAGGTGTGTTGCCATACATGGAACTCATGGCCTTCTGGTAGGAGACATATTTTATTAGTACCAAGTTCAGCTCTTTGCTTAGCCAGTGCTAAACAGCACAAGCCATTTGTGATGTAAAGAGAAATCAGAACACTGAAATAAGGCACCTTTTCTCCAAGAAATGTACCAGCTTCTCAACTTTATTTGCCTGGTGCTGGGAGTTAGGACTGTTCCTCTGACAGTGCAGTTCTTTGAAATGAATGACAGGTTCTTAGCATAGCCTAATTAATATTATCAAAGGTGTGATCAGATGTAGTGAAATCTTTGCCTTGGTAATTCTGGACAATTTGTGATAATAGGAACTTCCATTTAAAACTAAAGCAAAGGACTTTAAATGGAGTTGACTGAAGCAATGGACCTTTAATTTGCAATGGAGATAAAAACGACAGGGGTTGTTCAAGTCAGGGCAATGTGAAACATATCCAAAAATGTTCACATGACAAAGCGAATGAAATATGAGCAGGACAGACCCAAACGGCCACTTCAGTGCCAGAAAAGACCTCAGGAACTTGGCTTTGACCTAGATCCTCACAAGGGCATTGTAAAGAGGAACTTAAAAAAAAAAAAAAAGTCTTTAACAACAAAAGACATGCATGTCTCAGCTAGAAAAGAGAGATTCCTGCTCCACTCCCAGCATGTCCAGTTGCTGTGTGCTCTGCAAGACCCTGAGTGGTGTTTTGGTGTCTGTGGGCATTTCCTCATTCACTTGGTGTGTGCTCACACAGAGACATTCCCTGAGTTATCCATAACCTCCTGTGTTTGTCCTGACAACTTTTCCTCATTCCTGGAGATAAAGCTGTGTAAGACACAACACAGATGTGCTCTATGTGTGAAAGAGTCCCCCTGATAGGATGTATTAATGAAAATGTGATGCTGGACCTGTACCAGTTGGGAGCACTGTTCATGTATTCTAAACTTGATATATATTGTCCATATCACTCACAATTATTAATCGCCTTCTAATATTCATCATTTGCTCTGTTTGCAGAGCCTGATTCTGTGTAGAGAGCCTGTAGGTTGGCAGAAGAATTGTCTAGTACATATGGGTGTAGTTTATTTCTTTTTCCTCCTGTGGGTATTAAACCTCTGGAATTGAAGTAACTCACCTAGAATGAAAAATTAAGCTTTATGTTAATAATGGTCCTTTAAAGAATGGCACATGGTCTTGCTCTTTATCAGAATGGAGGTTATCAAAAGTTTATCTGGATGTGTGGGATGAAATAGTTGTGAAATCAAGACTCAAAGTGTGAGATCGAGCCCTATTCATGTGACTGCTGAGGGCTTTGAGCTTGTGAATCAGTGAATAGATTTTAAATATGTGATTTTAAATATGTGATTCTGTGTAAGAATTGTGTGGTTGTGATATATAGTCATTAAGAAAAAGAGTGATTAAAATGTAATAAAAAGCCTTGCTTTAAAATGAATTAAAATAATTTGTAGTTCCCAAGAAAAGCATGTGTTTCAAAGCAAGGCAGTCAAATAACAAAGAGGGGTGCCTGCTTCAGCATCAGGCTGTGAAACTCCATCCCTTGAGGCAGAGTAAACCAGCAAGGTGGTTTTCCCCATTCCTGTCCTGAGGGTTTAGAAGATGTAATTGTAGAAGGACACTGGTGGAGTGGTTTGTACTCTGCTGTGCACGGGTCATGCAGAGCTGTCCGCAAGGCCCTTCCCCATCTGCTGCTCCACGTGCCAGGCTGGTGCTGCTTCGCCAGCCGGTGGCACCTTGGGTTCCTGACGGAAGCTGGAAGCAGGCTGTGACCTGCCTCTGTGGCCAGACACATGTCAGGCATGTGCAGGCTGCTGCAGTCTTTCATGTCTGATGTTGCAGTGCATAAAGGTCACTTATATTGTGTTGCTGAACTATATATAATTCAGTGTTTAGAGGCACCTTAGTCATCTGCTCTTGGACGCAGCAGCAAGGCTGCAGCCTGTGTTGTGGACAGTGTTTCATGCTGGCACATGCAGTAACGTGCCCCTGTGACAGTGCTGCAGGTGGGTGCCTCTCCAGGCTTGTATTTTCGATCGGTGGTATGCTGGAATTGGCTGAGGTTTTGTTCTGATACATGGATCCTTATCTTCCAGTGCAAGTGGAAGTGATCTTTTAATCACGTTATTTCTGGTCAGGAGAGTGATCACTGTGGTGTCCTGTGTGTAACCTTTCAGGGCTGCCATGCAATTCTGAAGCTAGGTCTAATCATATTAATTAGAGCTAAAATCTGGTTTTGGATACAAGTCTGGTTTTTCATGCAGCCGTTTGAAGCACAGATTAGCCAAACTGCAGCTAAATGCAGAAGAATGAAACTCTATAATTGAAATGCTGTTTAAGACAATGAGTGGTTTGTTGTTACAATGTTCTTTCCAAAAATAGTCCTCCGTGGCCTCCTTAGCACAGCTTCTGCCCATCACTTGGGAGAGTAGAAGTAGCCAGGCTTATTGATCTTAGCAGGCTGGCAGAGACACTTGCATTTTTGTCTAAATCCATTTCCTAAATCTGTATTTCCCAGACTCGGCTGGCAGGGAGGGACATGTTCAGTGTTGCTGTACTTAGGTTCTCTGTCACCCTCCCTGCAGCTCACTCTGAGCTGCTGTACCTGTGTGCAGGGTCTGTGGATTTCCAACACCCCATCTGTAGAGCTGAGTACCTGGTTGTGTTGTGGTGTATTTTTAACTCTCTTTTGAACACCTCATTGAGGCAGAAACAAGAGCAGCAGATGACAAGTTAGAGGGGTGACTGCCAGGAAAACAATGAAATCCAGCAGAGATATACCTATGGGGACTATACTGTTTGTGACTCCAGATGTTACATACAGTTGCAGCCCACTAAAGGGAAATTACAGGATATGATTCTATGAAATGGATTTATTTCAAGTATCCCTCTGTATACAAAAATAACCAAGTAGGTTAATATTAGTTAATCTTGCAGTCTTACACAGACACAACTGACGTCAACAGAAATTTTGTGTGCCTGAAGAGGGAATATATATATGCTGACAGGGATCATTTGAGTACAAAGTTAAGGTTTCAGTAAGATTTAGTAACAAATAGCTGGCATTTTAACTAGCCTGATCTAGTATTTAAATTTAAAAGAAGGATTTCTGAATTTATCTTCATACGACTGTACATCAAAGGAGGATTGTGTTAAGTCCTCTTGGTCGAATTAGGGTTTAATGCAATATCCCTGAGCATGTCAATTAATATTAAATAGACTGAAACAGTAAAATACCATCTCTGCCCAGGATGATCATTACAGGAATAGAGTGGCCAGGCACCTTCTGAGAACGAAGGAGAAAGAACAGAAATCTTGTTAATATCATTTACTTCACATGGTGCATTTTAAAGAATTTCTTACTTCATTCTGGAAGTGTTTCAATCCTGAAAATTTCTGGATTAACCATGCTAATTTGTTGGTTTGTCATGTGAGACACACTTATATTTATGTATCTTTATGCAGATAGTCACTCCATCACACTGAATCAAATATTCTCTTTTAGAGCCGAGGGCAGTTTTAAATCAAGTACTTTGAATTTTTCCTTTAATTATGCATGTGATCTTCTTCAGAGTAATTTTAATAGCAGTTTTGCTCTATAAGATCAGTCCACAGCCATGCACACTGCATGTGCTTTGAGACAGCTCGGGGACTCACTGTGCAGAGGGGTGGCAAACCCGCTCCATCAGTGTTTTGGGAATTTGTTGCTAAGCACAGCACGTCAGCTGTAGCTCCTGCTGTAGCCTGTATGCTTTTTCCCAGGTAAAAGACACCATTGGCTATGACACCCTGGGGCACTGTTTCTTCCTGGAAGATGGGACGGAGCAGCGCAACACCTTTTATCACAACCTGGGCCTCCTCACCAGGCCAGGGACGATCCTGCCCTCGGATCGCAGCGAGGTCATGTGCCTTGCCATCCGCAGCCACGTCCATGGGAATTACATTCCTGTGCCAAGCACTGACTGCATGTAAGTGCTCCAGGAGCTGTAGCTGGGTTTTGCACTTACATTGTGGTTCATAGCTGGGTCCCAAAGAACAGTGTGGTGAAACTTGAAAGGTGCTATTTAATATGAAATGAGAAATTGTAGCTTTTTCTGCCATTTTTCGTTTTAAAACTTGACTGTGTTTCGCTTGCGAAGATGTTTACTAACACCTGCATGAATTCTAGGCAAGGAATATTTGCTGCTGGTTATTCCTGACACTGCTTTTAGAGAATCATGGAATGACAGAATGGTTTGGGTCAGAAGGGACCTTAAAGATCATTTAGTTCCAACCCCACTGCCACTAGACCAGGTTGCTCAAAGCCCCATTCAGCCTGGCCTTGAACACTTCCAGGGGTGGGGCATCCACAATTTCTCTGGGAAACCTGTGCCAGGGCCTCACCACCCTCACAGTGAAGAATGTCTTCCTAATACCTAATCTAACCCTGCCCTCTTTCAGCTAGAGGCCATTCCCCCTTGTCCTATCACTCCAAGCCTGTGCCAGACGTCCCTCCCCAGCTGCCTTGTACCACTTTACAGGTACTGAAAGGTGCTTTAAGGTCTCCCTGGAGCCTTCTCTTCTCCAGGCTGAACAACCCCCAGCTCTCTCAGCCTGTCTCCCTAGGAGAGGTGCTTCAGCTCTCTAAATCATAAATATGTTAGAGCACTTTGCTCATTTCTTAACACGTTTCAATTCTTTATGAGTAGGATGTTAAGGGCTCCATGAAATCTTTCTGATAAGTGCAAGTTGCTCCAGCCCTGGCATAGGCTGGCAACACAGTTTAGCAGAGGAAATTTGTACTTTTGTGTTTTCTGTAAAAGAATGCAGCGAACAAACTCTGCTTAACTGAATTAAATGCAGTTATTGTTGCTGAAATGCTAAGGTTTCTTGTGTGGTTATTACAGATTTATTTTTCATCTCTTTAGTGGATTTTTGATTATTTAATAGTTAAGGTGGATAAAAAATGTTTGAAAAATCTCTGCCTAGAATGATCAAATTAATTGCTACAGTCATGAAAGAAGGTTTACAGTGTTTTTACGTGTTGTCTTTATTACTGCCAAAGATGTTATCCAATGAAGTAAGACAACAGATGACAATGTTTTCATAGCTATATCTGGCTTCTGTTTGTACCACTACTGATCTTCCCTGTGAAGAAAAACTCCTTGCTGGGACAAACATAAAAATTATATCTCCTTAATCTTCTGCTTAATGAGCTATTTGCAGCTTGCAAGGCCATTTGCTTTGTTTTCCACAAGAGCTTCAGAAATTCATAGAGAATCCCCTAACTCCTACCATTGCCCCTAAAGTTTCAAAAAAAAGACCAAAAGTTTCACTTTCAGACATTTTCCAAATCTGCTTAACTTAAAAAAAGATCCTGGGTTTCCTTCAGCTGCATTGAACAGAGCATGGATTTTGTGTTAATGCTCTCATATAATTTACAATAGGTTCAGCATATGGTTCCATAAATGACCATGTTTGACATTTCTAGATGGTTTCCTTTCCTTAAAGAGTGTCATTAAAAGGTTGTGGGGAGTTGTAAAGTCAATAGGAGAGCTGTGGCTCAAGTCCAGTGCAGTGCTATGAAAATGTATCCCTTCCTGTTTGGTAACTGCTTAGGATCATTTTGATTTTGGTTTTCAGGGCTGTCAGCACGTTCTGGATTGCAAATCCAAACAACAATTTAATAGAGAATGCAGCGGCTGGTGCTCAGGTAAAACCATTTAATGGCAGAGCTCTGCTTTGCCTCCAGTTCCCATATATTCCACTCTTATTGGTGCCATTAGTGTGAGGGCAATAACTGTGAAAGTTTGGATATGTATTTCTGCAACCTTTGTCTCTGTTAAGAACTTTAGATATTTTAAGATACTGTAAGTATTTGCCTACACTACTCCACTGACTTCTCTCAGAATTGTGGCTGGAAATGGTATGGGACATTTCTTAGCAAACACTGATTTTTATTAGTAGTTAAAAGTTAAATGCCCAATCAAATTTTATATTTATATATATAAATATACACTCTCTCCTTGTTACTATCCTTTATGTTTACCCAAACTCTGTTTGAGTTTAATATGCCTGTACAGATCGGCTGTTTTCTAATACACCGCATGAATTTCACCCACTATAAATGCATTTCTTAAATCCATGTGTGTGCTCCCCAGGGACCCACTGTGCATGCCAAAGGATAAGCTGGGAGGTGTAAGAGTTATGGGCTTGTGTGTGTGGCAGGCTCAGGTCAGAAGTCTGACCAGCATAGTGTGAAACCCTAAATTCCCAGGGTAACCTGTATCATTAACTGCAAGGTGCCATTTCTCAGACATCCCTTTGTCTTCCAGGATGTTGGGATATGGTACATCTTCCACCGGGTTCCCACCGGGCAGTCTGAGGGGCGATATCCAGAGGGACAGGCTGAACATACCCCCTTGGGAGTGTTTTACAACAACAGAGTCCACTCCAATTTCAAGGCATGTATATGATTTTTGTGTTTCTATCAATATAATAGTATGGCATAGGGCTGACTGCATGTGCTTCTCTGAAATCAGATGGTTGTGAGTGTCTTACATTTTGATAAAGTTCTTTTTAACACCATACCAAGACACAATCAACTTTCAGGGTAATGGTCTTTTTAATCATTAAAGAGGGAGCTGAGCAGAATGAAGGTCCCACACCAGACACTTCAGTTGAGTGGCTGCATTAGAGGCCATAGGTACACCTACTGCTAAATGAGATTTAAGGAAAGACAGGCATCACACTGAGCACTGCTGTTGGCCACAATGGTGCCAGGATATAGGGGGATGAGCAAAAATCCTTTGTCCCAGGGCCTACTCATCACCTCTGGAAAATGAGACCAAAAATTCAAGGATATTTCCAAGAAAAGCACTTTCCTCCAATATACTGTTGACATAAAAACATAAGCTTGTATGTTATAAAATGCATTTTAAACTCCTTTCTCAGGATTCTATATTGAAATCAGTTCTGTGTGCCTTGTATATTTTACATCTTGGTCTTGGGCAGTTGCTGCTCTAGCCCAAAGCCTGTAAGTTGGCTACAGCAGCTCATGTTCTCTTCTGACTGTCAGGGGACTCATCACTTGTTATTTGAAGCCTTAATTCTTAACAACACTCTTTTTCCAAAAAGTTATCAAGAGCTTGGCAGAGTCCCTTATTGCTTTCTGCGAGGGAGAGAGAGAGTGGGAGTTCAGAGCCTTGCTTTGGGTCAGAAGACAGCCCAAGATGCTGATGTATAACATATGGCAGGGCAGGCTCTGTCCTGACTTCAGCGTGCTACATCCTGTGCTAGTGTCATGCTGAGCAGTGCCAAGTGACACCGAAAGGGAAGAGAAAGCCCAGGCTGCAGGCGCTCCCTGTGCCTGCACGCACTGGCTGCCCACGTTCATTGATAAAAATCTGGGATCTCCGGTCTCTGTTGAGCAATGTGTTAACATAATTGGAGCCGTGTGCATTTTCAGGCTGGTTTGTTTATTGGAAAAGGAGTAAAGACAACAAGAGCCAACCCTGAAGATCCCAGAGAGTATCTCACTGTCGATAATGCCAGGTAAGCACATGCTGTATGGCTGAGTATTTTGGATGGTTGTATTGCTTCTTGGCTTCTGCACTGCATTTAGCAGATCATTAATGCCTCGTTATGGCTGGAACGTCTGAGGAAAGCACACAAGCTATCTCTGATGTGCAGAGGAAAATACTCCACAGATATGCACTGAATTGTTTGTGTTATTGCTGACCAAAAAGGACACACATGCACTTGGGGTTATGAGGACTAAGCAATGAAGCATGTGAAAGGGGATCCAGATTCCATTAGTCCATTAGTGGGTTTGTAAACTCTAACATTTATTACTAATTACCTCGAAGAACTCACATCTGAGAGGTGATGTAAGAGACTGCTGAGACTGGTCTAGGATTAATGAAGAAAATAAGTAGCCTCAAAGGTTTTTGTCAGCTGCTTTGAAACCCCTGAGCTTCCTTTCACAGAGTGGAAGCAGGTAAATTAAGGCCATTTTCTCACTCTCTGCAGTCCTACGGGTGTATGTGAGGAGGCTGTGAGAGAAATCAGCTGCTGCTCCTGATCAAGCCTTGGTTTTTTTCTCTCCTCCATTATGTCCTATCAATGGGATATTGATGTTCCCAATGGGATATAGGATGTTCCCATAAGGCTGAAAGGAAAGGATGACTATGTGTCCCTTCTGAGACTTCCCTGCCAGGGTCACTCCCTTGGGCACTGAGGAGACATGTGCCTTCACATCAGCTGAAAGAAGGGAAGGTAGACTCAGAAAAAGCAATAGTGATTTTTTTCCCCAATTTTTCCGAATCTACCATTAACAGCCAGTATGGCAAGAAACGGCCTGTGAGTAATTGAGATGGGCCCAGTTCCCAGGGTGAATCCTTTTTTCTTTTGACAGCTTCTCTTTCAGCAGACAGAGAAGCATATGGAGGTCTGATCTGTACAGGCAAGGACTACTCTGTTATCTTTGCTGAATGAGATTTTTGAAAGTGCCTAATTGATTTTCTAGCATCAACACAGGGATTCTCAGTGGGCCTTGTAAGGACATCTACAAGAGGATCCAAGTGACTTGGGAAAAATGTTTTCTATGCCTCTAAATCACACTGAATCAAATTAAGAAGTAGCTGTGGGCCAATTGAAGTCTAGTGAGAAATCATCTGCTCGTTTCACTGGGGCCAGAATTTCATCCTTATGAATGTGTCTCATTTTCTGCTTTGTACCAAGGCACAGAAATGGAATCAGGCTAATGACCTGGCTCTAACCCAGACCATATCACCTCCTTAGACCCACCATGCCAATATCTGGAAGCCAAATAAGGTCTGCTGGGCACGACTGCCTCTGTCTGAGGTCGATTCCTGTGTCTCCTGTGCTGTATTAACCAAGCTTCTTGCTTCAGGTTTCGCCCACATCAAGATGCTGATCCTGAAAAACCACGAGTTCCTGCTGTGATTGATGGTCTTATTGCTTTTAAAAATAATGACCACGGTGCCTGGGCCAGGGGCGGTGACATTATTTTCCGCAACTCAGGGTAAGTTACTGTAATGACCTGTTCTATCATTCCCCTCACAGCAGACATAAATAGGTCTGTAGGCAAATTCACTGCAGACATTCCTCAACATTTACACCGCTGTGTTTCTTCTGTCCCAGGTTTTCAGACAATGGAATTGGACTCACTCTGGCAAGGTAATTTCTTAAAATGGACCTTCTTCCCATTTTTCTTCCTCAGTGTAACATGCTCAAGAATGGAAGCTGAGACACTCCCTTGGTAATTAGTATTGGACAGGAAAAAAGCTCACATTTCCCTCTCAGACCACATCAAGTCTTCCCTGGGCAGCCATTAATACAAAGGGCAATTTATCCTTTCTCTTTGTCTCAGCATGTCTGGGGAATACATCATAATGGCTGGATATTTCCTCCTGAATGGGAGGTCTTGAATGGGAGGTCCCGATGCTCCAGCACGAAGCTACCTTGGCACTAACTTGCTGGTTTCTAAATGTACTTTAAGGCAGCTTCTCATAGCAGTGCATGCACCTTCTTCCAAAATAAAGAAAAACTTCTGCTGTGCTTGTGGTATAATTAAAAGTGTTAATTAATCAGTAGTGCTGTGCTGCATGGTAACATGGTGTTTCTTTGCTTGCAGTGATGGGACTTTCCCAACAGATGAAGGCTCCAGCCTGGAGGTTACACACTCAATTTTTGTTGGAGAAAGCAGCAACTTTGGCTCCCAGGGAGGCCAAAACAGCTACTGGGGAAAAGGGGCAAATGGAGAATACAGAACACTGCCCAGAAACAAGTGAGTTATTCTTCTGCCATTTCTTCCTGGCGTGAGCATAAGCTAGAAGAAAAGCCTCAGGAATTAATGTCACTACTGAAGAGTAATTTATACCAGGTGTTTAAATTACTGTACAGGCCAGAAATAATAAGCATCCAAATAAACTCACTCTTTAGGCCAACAGCTTGAGAGCATTCTTGACTGAATGTGTTTGATTTAGTTTTCTCCTTAATTTATTAGTCACTGGAGAATGGATTAAAGAATCTGAAATATACCAAATGGCTTTTGTGTAGTGCTTCAGTAGCACAGCATAGAGGTGATGGTACAGCTCCCATACACCATGACACCCTCTCTCTTGCAAGTGCAGCTGGGAAAACATGGCTGGTTGACAAAGGAGAAATCATTTTTATAGTATCTTCTTTCTTTTTTGATAGCTGTATGTTATTCTCCATTTTCAGCAGCAGAGCTCCCTCACTAGCAACCACAGTGCCTACCCATATCCTCATAGCAAGGTGGGCTTCTCCAAGCCTAGATGTTTGGTTTTGGTAAAGCTTACCAATTATTAAACCTTCCACAAGGTATATAAAATTAAGCAGTAAGCAGTACTCATTAGACATGCGATGCACACAGCCCTGGCTGTACATGTCTCGGCCATAAGTGATAACAGGAGTGGGACTTCTGTGGGACAGTAAGAATAATCAGACCTATCCTCAGTTATTATTGGTGATTTTATTGAAATTGAAAAAAAAACCCCTCTGTTGCAGTTCAGATAAGCTCTAATGATGTTCTTAAGCAATGTGCTCTTGGAAAGGGGTATGACAGAACATCTGAAATCTGTCCTTCTGCAAGTGCTTCCAAGGAGACACTTGCCTCCAGGGAGTCTGACTGCTATCATTTTCCAGTCATGCTGATGTTTTCCTGAGAAACCTGCCTGCCCCGGAACAAGGAACCTGATGGCAGTGCTGACATACAGCCCTTTGGGTCTTCCTCATGGTGATGAACTCCTGAGTGGCTGGGGGCAAGGGCTTTGAACTGCTTTACCCCACCTTGCAAGACTTAGGCAAGCTTACAAGTCATTTTTTTTGGCTTTTGAGCCTCATCCTGTACAGGATCTTCAGCAGAGTTTCATCTTTCATGTATGAAGAAGAGTCTTCAGGTCCCAGTTTTGGGAAAGAAAAGGTGGTTAATGTCTTTCTATGCTGTCGGAAGACTTAGAGTCTTCCTAAGCTTTTAACACAGGACTATGTTGGTATTTATATCCCACAGGACATTCCCTATTCGTGGATTCCAGATTTATGATGGGCCTGTCAGGGTGGCAAGATGCACCTTCAAGAAGTTCACCCCAACTGTTGACAGACACTCAAGTGCCATTGGGTTCTTCATGAAAAACTCCTGGCAGATAAGCCCCCAGAACAATGTGTCACAGATCCTGATGGAGAAAAGTGTAAGTAAGAGAAGCAGAAATGTGTGCTGTTAAATTTGAAAGTTTTTGAAGTTTTTAGAAGTGATGAGAGATCTGTCCCGCAGCAGAATTTCCAAGCTGTGGTGCTTGTTACATTGGCACACACCAACAATTTATTTTGCAACACTTTTTTCTTTTTTTTTTTTTAAATTAATAAGTTATTTAATAGGCAATTAAAATATGATGATACCTTATGCCTGGGCAGACATACATAAAATAATCTGCACTGGAGAAAGTTTTCACCTTGTAACCAGAAGACCCAGAACACAACTCTTAGCTGCTGCAGCACTGCCAGCTGCTGAGGACCTGGGGAGGACCTGGCCTCAGAGGCTGAGAAGGTCACACATGAGATGTCAGGAGTCAGTGAGCTGCAATACAGTTGTTCTACAGAAACAGAAAATGCACTTAGAAGCAAAGCCATGACCCAGTTTCTGGGATCAGCTGTGAAATTCCTGCTGAGCACAACAGGGACTTGCTTTGAGCTGTGACAGCAGAATGAAGCTCTGTATCTCTGCCTTGGCAGGAGCTGTAGGATGCTGAGCAATTCCAGTCCTTGTCCTGGATTCCTGCAGGGATCATGACCCTGGACACTTGGCTTGGGAAATGACAGATTCCACCTGGCTTGCTCCCAGGGGTCATGACCTCTCCTTAGATTTTTTTCAAACAAGGTCCATACTTGTTAGAATGTCCATGAACTGCAGTAACTTTGGCTTGAGGTTTGGCTTTATCTTGAGGAAAATTTCCACTGCTCTGAGATTGACCAATATCACTCACTCTGGCTAGCAGATAGTTTGTCTGTCCCCTCTCTAGTACACTTTAGACCAAGAACCAGAGGGTATTTCATGAAAGGATGGTGTTGACTGCAGTCACTTGACTGCTCCTCTAAAGAAAACATGGTTAGTGTATTTTGGTAAGGAGATCTTAGCTACCTTACATGCTTTATGGAGCTTTGGAGTAAGGGCTAATTTGCTGTACCTTCTTCATGTCCTCCCTTGGGGAAATGGTAATGAGATGGTCATGGGGAACATGAATGAGAAAATCAACCTGGAACTGGGGAGGGGATCCTACAGAAAAGAAGTCTGATCAGTGGAGTGGAGGAAAGTGGAAAATTTCCTCCAGTAATGGCTGTAGGACTCTGTCCAACAGAATGGTTTCAGACAGGTGATATCTATGAACATTAGCAAAGGGGATGATTACACCTTGAATGGCTGAAAATGCAGCTCTTTAATACAATCACACCATTTGAGGCCAAATGAACCTGTTAAATATTCAGCATTTTTTTGTCTGAAAGGCAGTTTAGTACTGCTACATTATTTATTATTATTATTATTTATTACTGCTACATCTTTAAGATACAAGGTTTTCAAAACAAAAATGGCCTGAAGACATCCTAAACTCTTCTTCAAAGCAAATTAAAGTAGTGGAGTGTAAGCCTATTACAAAAAACCCAAACAAAACCAGACCCTAATGACATTATCCCAGAAGTTATTTATTGCATGTACATTTCCAAGAAATATGCATTTTTGAATTTGGCATTTTATGAACTTAAAAAACATCTATGTTTGTAAGCACCTGCATCCCACCAATTTTCACTTTGATTCTGTTTTATCTGGATTGAACCCACATGTGCTACATCTGATTTCAGACTTGAAGGGCCACAGCTAGTTTATTGTTTTGTTGTTCATTGCTATATGGGATAATATATCTTTGACTTGTTAAGATAGAGCCTGTAGACAATTTTAATTAATTTTCCATCTCCATGCTTCATTTTATTACTTTTTAAAGGGTGGCTAAGTAGTAATTCCCTAAAGGAGCTAAGTAGTAATTCCCTAAAGGACATCATTTTACCATAGATTTTTAAGAAGAAATTAAACATTACTGCAAGTTTTATAGTGATGACAAAACTATTAGTCATGCTAAAGCAATAATTGTATAATTAATCAGACTAATCAGAAGACTGGTTAGAAAACAAAATAATAAAGCCAATCAGATCTTGTTTAATTCCAGCATAAAAATAACAGTCAAGCAGAATGGAAGACCTAAACATTACATTACACAAAAAGTATTTCTAGTTGCCTTTCCGTTGACAAAGCTAAATCCCAGATATTATCTGTGCATTTATCATTAACAATATTATTGCTAGGCTTGCTTGTTTGTTTTAAAAAGAGTGCTTTAAAAAAGTTATTTCAAAGCAGTGGAAGCAGTAGTTGGTTTTAACCCAGCTGAGGTCATGGCTGATGGCTGTGGTCTCCTGTAGATCCGTCAGTCAGTAGGACCTGGAGAGCTCAAAGATGGTACAGCCCAGAACAGAGCCATGCCCAGACAGAACACTTGTGCATCGTTTCTAAGAAGACCTGACAGATCTCTTTTTATTCACAAAAAAGCAGCTCGTTCATCCCCCATCCCTTTGGGGTACAGGTCCTGTAGAACGAGGTGAGGAGCTTTTGGGCTCCCATGAACAAGGCCACCTTCAGCAGGTGCAGGAGACTCACAAACTCTCCCAGTTTATGTCTGTTGCTAAAAGTCCCTCTGGTTATTTTGTCCCTGAGCCAGGAGCTCAGGGTGGATTCAAGCCTATTCTACTCCTATATGTACCAACACTGTGGCATCCTGGAAATTACTTGTGCCAAAGAAACCCCAGCAGTCTGTGCTGGGGGACTTTGTGGTCCCCAGAAGAGCTCACAGGGGCCAGTACTGACTTCTGGCTATGGAAAAGTGACTCCCATGGGATTGCAGTCCTGCCTAGTTAGAGATGGGAGCTTCCTAATGTGGACTTTACTATGTTTAGCCTGTGTCGTCTTAGTGCTGAGTTTCTGCGTCAAAGCACACATTTGCAAACAGTTCATGATGGGAAAAAGAAAAGAAGACACTGAGTTAAAGCCTGTTATCTCCTAAAAAAAAAAAGAGGGCAGAAGAAAAAATTATCCCAACCCTACAAAGTCTCCTGATCAAAGGGAACTTGGCAGGGTGAGGGTTTGCATCACTCCAGCAGAGTGAAAGCCATGGGGGCAGACTCCTTGGGTGGTAAAACAGATGAGGATTCACACTGGATGAAAATGGTCTTCTTAAAATGATAACAGTGATACAGTGGTATGTCTTTTGTTGGTAGTTTGTGCCAACACTTGAATTTTAGAAAAAGTTGCAAGTTATTACAATGCTTCCCAGTACATTATTATTTTTTAATTTAGAGAATGCAGTCATCAGGTCTTCCCTGCAGGTGTGTTAGATGTCTGCCTTTGGACAGGTTGAGTTAGCATATTCCTAAGAGATTACATACTCACATAACCATCATCTGCCAGGTCTCTGTGTCAGGCTTCAGACAGGTAATTCAAGTAACCTTTACACCATATCACTCTGAGGTAGTCCACACTTAGTGAAAATTAGGTGTCTGAATAGCAGTGTAGTATCTAGACATGGCCTCTCTCTGCACCCCCTTCTAGCTCATTCCTAGCTCCATGTGAACACACCTGAGGAGCTGAGTCTTTGTTTCTGTGTTCACTTAGAATAAAATACACATTGCCATAGCTGTAATTGCAAACCCAGTTAAACCCCTATCCCTCAGCGTACCAAAGTAAGGTAACCTTGAGGCTTATAAAGGAAGTGACACTGCTCATTAACATTTCCATTTAATTTAATTTCTGACTTTCAGACTTTTTAGAGGAGAATGTTAGAGATCAGAATAGCATTAGCACCAAAACTGTCTGCTGCTGCTGGATGGAAACATTGAGAGTGTTGATCAAATGTAAGCAGTGCTGGCTTTGCCTTCCTTTGGTTTGAAGTGCAGCTGACTTTGTTCTCCTCCCCAGTGAAGTGCCTGTTTTCATATTCAACTCCAGAACTGCACTGTCAAAAAGTATTTATAAGAGACCTTTGAGCTGCAACAGTGTTTACATTTTTTAAAATCTCCTCTTTTATAAATTAAAATGAGAGAAAAAACCCAACTTTTGGGATTCTCTTATTTTGCCAAGTAGCCTTTTGGGAAAAACTTCCTGCAGTGCAGTAAGAAAAAGTTCTAAAAAACTCAAAAATACACATGTTTGAACCTCCTTTAAAGGAGAATGTTTCAGGTGTTTGTTTATGAGACAAGAAGGTTCTAGGCTTCAATTTAATTTTAAATCAATCAAGACTTTTTTTCTTCAAGCAGTTGTTGCTGCAGTGGTCATTCTTTTTAAGGCAATGGACTTCCCATCTAACTCAGAATCACAATAACCCTCCTATTCTCCTAAGCCCTTCTGTTTATTATTGTTAAAATAAAGCCTTTAAAGCCTTTAGTAAACTTGCAGCCTAATCCTGCTGACCCTAATTCTTACTCATGTGCACAGTCCAATTAAAATTAGTTGGGCTAAATGGAACAAATTACAGTCCTTTGGGTCAGCGTGATCCAGCCTCTATTTATGCTGTTTGCTTTCATGCACACTGCTGCTGGATTCATTTGGAATGCTTGACCTGGAGGAATTATTTTCTTGATTACTTCAGAACTTAATTTTCACATGCTGTAATAATTTTATCTGCAGACGTTAAAATATTCTGTGGTTTTTTTGGTTGGTTTTTTTTTTTTTTTTTCTTTTTTTTTTTGAACATCTGCAGTTTCCTTGTTTTGCTGGATTTTCATATCAGGGCAGATATTTTTACTTAGCTACTGAAAAATCTTGAGAACAGAGATAATGAGGATAATGCTGCTTCCTGTTATTTCTATTTCCTAAAAAAAAAAAAAATTCTTCTTGGGATATATTGGAATGTGCACAAGAGCCAATTCTGAGAAATGCTGTCACTTTAAAAAGTTTTATAGGGTTTTAGGAGGAACGATTAGAAAAGAATGGCACTCAGAGAACCACTAAGAAGAGACGTTGAAAATATATGAGAAAATTCCCCAAATATCCAGTAATTTTTGTTTCTCTATTAACAGCTGTGATATTCTTCAGTAAATTTCCTAATCATCCAGTACTTCCTCCACTTTCAGTCATCCTCTTCCTTTTGGCACCACTCAATTTATTGCTGTGTGACTTTAAGCAACACATGGTTGTGTGGGTGCATTTCAAAGAACGAAAAGCCCAGTTTTTGTAAAATACCTCCTGGGATAAAGAAAAGAGAGGGAAAACCAGCACGGCTGGCATTTTTTTTTCTAAATAGAAGAGGCAAAACAAAACTCTTTGCTCAGACAATGGAGCTCTCGAGTTCCAGCTGTATCACTGTTTTGGCTCTTAAAACACTGCAAGCTTACTTTGAGCTGACCAGGGATTTTTCATCTTATTTTCCCCTCTAGGTGGGACTGAAGGTGTTTTTTGGCAGACCGGGCCAGTGGTTTGGAAACAATGACAATGACGGTGACAAAATGTCAATCTTCCATGACCTGGATGGCTCGGTGACAGGGTACCCAGACACCTTCGTAGGCAGAGCGGACAACTACCTGCTGCGTCATCCCGGCTGTCTCACTGTCCCACGCTGGAATGGGGTGATGTGTCCAGGGAAATTCGCACAGGTAACAGGGGGCAGCTGCTGGCAGCACCACGGGGTGTGCAGGGTGGGCATCCTCAGTCTGTGAGGCGAGGGGTGATGGCGTGAAGTGTCCTCAAACAGTCTGTGAGATAAGAGCTGAATGACAGATTTGGTATAATCTTCCTCCTTCCAGTGTCATCTGCCTAATTCCAAGGATTCAGTAAAGTTCTTATTGTGCAGTTGCCTGCTGCAAGGAGGCCCATCTCTTCCCACTGCCCACAAGAAGCTGCAAGTTGAAATTGAGTTGGAGGAAAGTTTGGTGTTTTCTAGTTCCAGGCATTTGTCCACTCTATTGTGGGGCTCTAGTGGATAGTTCTGGTGAATCAGGTTTCAGTAATGGAAGATGTTACTTCTCTGGTACACCCTACTTGTGTTCAGGATGGTGAAATGGGTGGCTGAGATGCAAACTCCCACTTATTTCCCATCCAGAAATCACGGGCTGGAGGATGGTCAGCCTTAGGTCAGCATGATCTTAAACCTTCACAGCAGTGAGTAACTGAATGTCACAATCAAATCCAGGGTAGGCATGTCTCCTTCAGCTAAAAGAAATCGTATGCATTTGCTTTAGTTGCACAGCAGAGAGCAGGAGTTGCTATTTAAGCATCTAAATGCTGGACTTAAAAACCCTGGTGCGCTTTGGCTACGCAGAAACAGGACTGGGCTCCTCTGAAACACACCCATTGGATTAGGGTTTTGTCCTTGGCACTTAGTTTTGCTCTATTTCTCTAGAGAATTGGTCAACCCTGCTCTGGCAACCTAACAGTTAAATTCAGAATTGCAAACAAGCAGGCATTTATATTTTTATTTCTATTAATATACTCCTGGTTATGGCACTCTACATGGTGAGGCAGTTTTTCCACCATAGAAAATTTCCTTGGCTAGGTTTAGGCAAGCATAAACATTTGCTTCTCTGGAATCCATTACTTACCAGAGCTTTTCAACTCATCAGCATCCAGCAGGATGAGTAAAGGTCATATTAAATGCTTCACTTTATGGGTTTTGGGGAGGGAAATATATGTATGTGCAGAAGAAGTATGTAGAAGAAATTGGTCCCGTGCAGCAGGGTTTGATTAATTTGAAGAGTATAATTGTCAGAGTATTTCAGCTTAACTCTTATTCTCAGCACCCTGACTAAGTGGTGATTTGTTTGTCTGCTAAATTCTGAGTGTCATACTTCAGATCAAAAGCCTAAAACAGTGAATCCGATTATAGAGAAAGATGGTTTGCTTTGATCTTAGCAACTTCATTACAAAATCTGTTTTCCTTTTCATGTAGCTCTGGTAGACAAGAACTTTTATTCTTCCCTAGTTCAAGCAGGTGAAAATGTCCTTTCAGCTGAAGGAAATAGTGACTCCTATGTTACTGCTGAATGCAGCCCAAGATAGTCAGTCTAGGGATGGGCTACTTGGCATGGAAAACTCAGATCCAAGTCCTTCAGCTAACATTGCAGGCAAATCCTTTCTGAGCTGAGTGCCTAGAGTACAGTTAATTCCTTTCTGCTTGGTTTCTTTCATTCCCATTTCATGCTCCTCTTCTCCTGGATGTAATTTGCCCAAGAAAGGAAACGCCTGGGGAAAAACAATTCATCCGGCAGTGTTTTTAGCTCCAAAAAAATCCTGGGGACAGGCTTTCCTGAGGGGGTTTTAATCTGGCAGCTCAGGCTGACATTCCCACCCTCTTATGGTTGGTTCCTGGCCTTCCTCCTCACTGTCTCCAAGCAGCATCATGTCATGTTTCCCATGTGGTGCCGAAGATCTTCCTTGAGCAGGGAGCACTAAATATCTCATGCTTAGGCTTCTTTAGTAGCCTAAAAAAGGGGCTACCAAAGAAGGGTCCTGGAACCAGCTGAAAATCATGAAATTCACATAAGCAAGAACTATCAGGTCTTTCTGTCCTCCCCTTTTGCTTCTGCAGCCTGTAAGGTTGGTGTTGTCCAGACAAGACCAACCCCTTTGCTCTTTAATGAGAGCTGAAACTCTCATGTTGTAATGTAAATAAAGCAAGGCTTTGAGGAGGAACATTAAATAGAGGGAGACTCAGAGGGAAATCCCAAGAGCTGTCAGCACCACATCTTCTGGCAGTCCCTGTGAGTCACTCAGACTCCATCATCAGAGCACTGAGGTCCTTGGTATCCTGTCAACCTTCCTGTTGCAAAAGCCAATAATAGAAAATGTAGAGAGAGGCTCATTTCATAGTTCTCTTCATGTAGGTGTGTGAGATTTCCAGTTGGGCTGAACTGGAGACTCCTTGGCACCTCCATTACTTGTTAAAATGTAAATGAGATTCCTGAACCTCTACTGATTTTTATATAAATTGTAAGACAAGTGCCTTGGCTCCCACTGGGCAGCTGAAGCTGTGCACTTACTGCTTGCCTGCAGACTTCACAGCAGCTCCTCAGGGGAGGCTTTGAAAATTCTCCTTTTTGGTATTATTCTTTATTAAAATAAGCAGAGTTTTTGGCAGTATTTGCTACTTTCTTTTATAAGCTTAAAAAGGTGTTAGACAGTCATAAGAGACTGCCACTTGGCCAAATTAGTGTCAGCTTTGAATTAACAAAAAGTTGATGCCTTGCAATTCTAAAATACCTTAGTAAATGCTGTTGATTTTGCACCAGTTCACTTAGTCACTACCAAACTGCAGTTGGCTGAAACAGAAATTATTCCATTTTTGTTAACTCAGTTCTTGCAGTGAACGTTTGCAATTGCACTGATCCTGCACCTCCAAGTTACAGCTGGTTTTGTGGACTTGGAATCTCTGTGGCTGCTTTTGGTACTGATGCTCCTAAATGTACAGCAGGGAAGTGATGCAGGAGGTAGCAAGTGGTGCTTTTCTAGCCACAGGGAATCCCTACAGTCCCAGGGTATCTGTGGTGCTTGAGGATTATCAGCACCTCACAGACTGCAGGAAAGAAAAGCCTGTGAGATAGTGTCTGTTTTCAGCTTATGGTGTCTGTTTTTTGGACAAAGATGCCCAATTTTGATCTCTGATGTACACCAATTGAAACTCAAAGTAGTTTTCCTGATGTCAGTGACACCCTAGCATGTCTCACAGAAAGCAAGCTACATCTTTTTCTTTCTGCAAGAAAGAATTTTTAAAGTATTTACTTGGAAATTTCATCAACAAAATGTTTCTCCCTACGAAATTACCCTTTTTTGAACGGTCAGTCAACCAGAAAGAGAGAAGATATGCTTTGAGCTTCTCATTTTTAAGGTGTTTCTCCCCAGCTTGACAGCTGACAGCACCACAGAACAAAGGCAAGGGTAAAGAAACTAGAAAGCAAGAAAACCTTTTCTCAGAAACCAAGACTGTCAGTTCCAGTGCTTTGCATGTTGCTTATCTCCATACTCACTATCCAGTTGAATAGCAGATTCCCGTGAATTGTAAAGAACTTATCTTCTCAGTTTCACAATCTACTCGGGAAAATTGCCATGTAAGCACAGGGAAATCTGACACATCTCTTTAGCATGAAGTGTTAAGCAGCTAAAATAACAACTATGTCCATTAAACCATCCAGGCAAGTAGAAGGTTCACATTTTATAACATTTTAACCAGCTCTTCTTCTTCTATTACATTAAGTTGTCACCACTTCTCATATTGTAAAGTCTCTTTACGACCCACTTTCTTTTAAAGATTTTGATGGAGTCAATCAAAAATCATGGGAATGTTGCTAAGGAGGATGGATTTTTCATTCTAGAAGTAGATGAATTTTTCATTTGAGTCCTGTTGACTTACTGATGCTCCCTATGGGCAAAACAGTCTCTTCACACAGAATCTGGATTGACTGATCAGGACATTTACCTGCTGCGACCTCCTTTAGTGAGAAACGTTTTGCAAGATCCACGAGATCCACTGTTGTATCCCCATGGGACTGAAAATCACATCCTTGGTGGCTTGCAGTTCTGGAAGGCAGTCATTCAGTGGTCACTGATGGTGACTGTAGGAGACCAAGTAATTTTACAAGTGTTTCTATAACACATATGTGACACTAACTTGTTCTAGTAATTACCGTTTCATTCTCAAAACAGCTATCACCATTAGCCTTAATGTGAGACCTGTGACTGGGTGCCCAGGCCTCTGGAGGAAAATCTTACCATCAAATCTGTGACATCATCTCATCATCTTATTGAAGCAGTCTGCAAACTCCTCCTGCCCTTCCTTGGACTCATTAACCATACTAGCAAGCAGCTTAGGCCATGCATAGCTCACTGTCTTTTTTGTTCTCTTACACAAATAGCTTAAACTACATAGGAATCTTTTATTCTTGGCAGTCTGTAATTTAGGAAACTTTGGAGATCATTGAATGCACCTCCTTCTTTTCTTGGTTTAATCTATCATTGGTCCATTTAATTTTGTAGTCAGTTCATTCCAACTGTTCTTTGTTAGAAAATGCTGTTTTGATTCAGATAAATTAGTATACTGATGGGATTTTAACCTGAGCATTCAGCATGAGGCTGCTGAATTCAGGGGTGAGACAAAGGGTAGGCAAAGGTGGCCTGTCTTTTGGAGGTCCTGAGGAGCTCAAACTCCACATCAGGAACAGTCACAACCACAGAGTCCTTCGGAGCATGAAACTGGAACTGGGAGCTGAACTCGCCACAATCCCCAACTGAAATAAGCCCACATATAGACCAGTGAGAGACAGTCTGGTTTTGCAGAGCTTTCAGTCTATGAAGAAAAGAGGAAGAGAAGCAGATGTGGAGATGTGAGGGCCCTGCATTGCAAGGCGGGTACCCTGATAGATGGAGTCGTGATCTCTCTGCTAGTCTTGGCTGTGCTTGTATCCTTGCGGAATTAAAATCTGATAAGAAACTACTGCCTCCATTTAGATCTACCTCAAAGACACAAATGGAGTTTAAAAATAATCTTGATGGATGCATGCTCATGTGGAAGCCTAGACATTCCTGAGCTACCATGGATTTTTGTGTCGGATGTTTTAAGTTCTTGATGCAAAGAGCCTTATTTTGTGCTGTAGGAGAGTGAAGGCAGCAGGATTATGGGTGTCCTCATCTGTCCTCAGTGCATCTGCAACCCTTCAGGGAATATGACAAGCTGCCTGCTACAGCCCTGCGTGCAGAGACAGATTGGTATGACTAGCCGTGCATCCTACTTCTGCACTGGAATTCCATGTGGCAGAAAGCAGGGGAACATCACGTGTCAGCCTTAAAACTAACGTTTGCCACATGAACTGGCCTTCGTTTGAGTGATGGCAGGGCAGAAAAAGCATGCAGCTGGAGTGTGGTTTTGTAATTGTTCTGTAGAGTTGAGCTACAGGTCAGAGGCATCTGTTGGTCTGTGTGCAGAAGAGCTTTGCTGAAGTCTGTGGAATATGGTATTTAGTCTATAAGGTCATATAGTCAGGCCACTGATTTTTAGCCCCCAGAATTTCAGCCTAGTCTGCTACTTGAGAGTGAAGATGTGGATTCCATTAGATACCTGGACCTAATCCAAAGCCCATTGAAATAATTTCAGTTTTCTGTGTTTTCAATGGAATAAGCCTGTTTTTAAAGCGCAGTTATTTGAATTCATATAAAGGAGTTACTCTGCTATACTTCCGTGATTACCCTTCTCCCTAAAGATTTTGAATAGCGAACATTTTTATGGCACTGTACAATTCATATCTCACTTCACAGTGTCCCCACGGATGGCTGCAGATGCTATTTCTGGTTTACCTTTTTATTTGAACTGGAAACGTTTCAGTGACTTTCCAAATGCTCTGAACTCTTCATTGGCAAAAGCCATTTACAGGCAACGATGATCAAATGCACATGTTAAGGCTGTGCCTGGCTGGTTTAATGGATGTGTTTGTCATTTTCCTTTCCCCCTCAGCTTTATATCCAGGCCAGACGCCCCGAGAACCTGACCTTGTCCATTGCCAGAGCAGCCTACCCTTCCCATCCTGTGAGGCTGCAGGGCGTGAACAGAGGAGCACCGTACCAGCAGTACCAGCCTGTCGTCATGCTCGAGCAGGATTACGTCATCCAGTGGGATGGCAGAGCACCTGAGGATGTTATCCTGTACCCCATCAACTTCAACAGGTACTGCTCTGTGTTGTTTTCCAAAGGTCTGGAGCTTTATCTTTTTCCAGGTTATTCACAAGTAACCTTTCAAAGGTCTCAGCAATTTCTGAGAGTGTGGAAGCAAGGTGTTAAAGGTTGGCACTTACTGATGCAGAGAGATGCTTCTGCTTTCACTTTATTCCAGCTTTTTTTGATATGCAGAGATGTTTCTCTTTCCAGAAAGTTTTGAAATGGAATCCAAATAAGTCCTGGCCTGCTGTCCCTGAAATCCCTCCAGAAGAGTTCTGGCTCTGGTACATTTGTTTGTACTGGTTGCTGCACACATAATTTATCTCCCATATATATAAAGTGCAGAAATATATCAGAATGTGCTCAAAATTTTACATCTTCTGTAATCCAAATAGCACTGGAGTCACTGTTTCTTTTTAGCTAAAAAAGTTTTAAAATGTTCAATCTCAGCATAGCAAAATTGCAGGCTGCGCTGTTTTTATTTCCCATGTTTTCTTCTAGCATTATATAAAGACAGGATATATCCATTTTAGATGCTACTTTTGTCCCTTGCAATCTGTTTCACTTGGCATAACTTAAGTTATGGGGTTTAGTACTGTTCTTACTTCAGTGAAATTGTTTGTGCTTTGCACTGGTACTGCTGTTAGGAGAGAGTCCTGCAACCCAGTCAGCTTAGCAGGGACAGGCATTGCCATGGTCTGCACAGAGGAGATGCTGCAAGTGATGAGCAGCACAAGAAAGCCTGGCCATCACCTTGGGTTCTGCAGTTTGTGTGAGTCCTTGGTTATTGGCAAAAACACACTACAGTAAAAGAGAGAGGTTTGTAAATGAAACCTTGCATGATTACACACAACACAGGCTCGGGTTTCCAAAGCAGGTTTTGGACAGTTGGAATGAAAGAAGGCAGAGGCACTGAGGGCGTGAAGCAGCACGTACTGCTGGTGAACCTGGAGGGTTCCCAAGTCCCTCCAGCATTATCCACCAAACCCCACACCCATCCGCTGCTCCTCCAGCAGAGTCTCCCTGCTGTGGTTTTAGCGTAGGATCGTTTTGGCAAAAGCTTGAGTTCTATTTGGTTCCTCTGAACCTTGGAGCTGAGAAAATCTGGGGGAAAATACTGTCCTTAGTTCCCACTATGAAGCCCTGTTGGAATGCACTGAGAAGGGCAATGTTTCTTCTTTATACATGCCCAGTCCAGCAAGTGACATCCAGCTGGGCCTCTTGATTTAAAGATGTAGTAGCTGTAGGGCCATGACTGAGTCTCTAGATGATTGGTGTTTGGACACTCCTGTCACAGGGGAATTATTAGAATTATTAAATCAGTGTTTTCTGTATTAATATATCTTCGTGCACTTTAAGGAAGAGGAAAACCCATTAGTCACTCACGGACAAGCTGAGCTTTGCAATTATTATCTGTCTTTAAATGGTGAGCTATTTCCTTGCAATTACAGAGCTAAATCTTCTGACAAGTAACCGATGGTTGCTCTGTCACTGTGCCAGTTCATACTTGCCAAAGCTTTGGCCCAGAGTCTTCAGACACAGACTTAAATTTGAAGGCAGCCCTGAGTCTTTGGTCAATCTCAGCCTGAAGTTTAGCTCTTATTCAAGCAGCAACTTAACTACATTTTACTATTGAAAACCGCAATGTGGTTGTGATTCCCTTTGTCTTGTTTGAAACTAGTTATTTGAACTGGGCAAAGGTTTGTAGTGTTTTCTGATCCAGAAACAGTTGGCAAGATATCTGTTTTGAAGAATTATAAACAAGAAGTGTACTGTAACAAAGGAAAACCACAGTTTCACTTCATTTCATTTAGAGCTTCTTGCTAAGAAGTAATTGGGAATGAATTGTGTGGCTGCTCTGTCTACACCTCAAGTCTGCTGGATGCTCACTAATGTAAGACTTCAGGCTGATGCAACAGTGAAATGTCCAGACTGCATGGAAAAACATGAAGAAAAGAGATTCCTGTGGAAGAGTAAAGGAATTGAGGCAAAAAAGAGGTTTTAGGAGTTTGAAGGAAAACAAGTGCCTGTCTAAGCAGTTCCACGTATGGCTTTTACTAAGCATTGCATTCAAATCATTTCTGGAATAGAAGAAATCTTGGATTGTGGAGCCCAGAGTAATCAGAGATAGAAAATCAGGGAAACTATTTTACCTGTCCCAAGTGGCTTTATGTTTTGTTTGTTCTTTTAAAATTCATAATAGTGAACAAATATCCCAAAACCGAACTCTTAATATCATAACATCTGTGCCAAATATATGATGGAAACCAATTCATGTTTAAAACTTTAATAGCAATATTGTAGGATTAATAATTTGAGACAAAACCTGAGTGAACAGTTAAACTATTTTCAGTCTGGTCATTGTAAGATGATGGATGGCCGTATCTGGGATGCTGCCTTTGCAGCTAGGCAGCCCTCACGCTTCTGGAGTGATTTGCTCTGTGCTGGCTAAAGGAAGGTCATAGGGGAAATAAGGAATTTGACAGGGAGATGTGTACCAGGATTGGGATTTCTGTGGAGGTCAGGCACAGCACTAATGTTGAATACTTGTGTGATTAACACTTTCCCTGCCTCTGAGCCACTGCAGAAGTCATGCCAACCTGTTGGAAGACTGGAACGCCCAGATTCCTGGGGTGGGCAGGAGCTGGTCGGGATGAATCCACATGACTCAGCTGGAATTGGCAGCTGTGAGCTGCAGATCTTGTCCAGTGAGTTCAGAGGCACTGCTTGGGTGGATTTACTCAGCAGAGGAGGACATCAGTCAGAGCAGTCACCCAGCAGATCTTTTTCTTGTGCTTTCTATCTTCTTTCTTTCTGTCTTGCTGCAGTACTTGTGTCTTCCTTGCTCTGATTCAAACCATGTTTAGAGTAATCCTCCAATTTCTTCGTTTCCATCAAAATATGTGGCCAAACCAAACAGAATTGCTGTGCCTCCACATGCTGCCCTGTGGTGCAAAGAGGCTTTTTGACACTTGCCAGCATCCCTCCCAGTGAGAGATGGACTGCTTTGCATTTGTCAGGGTAGCTGTGTCTCTCCTTGGCTTGATGGGCAAACATAAAGCCTCGGTGGAGACCCACAGGCTCTGTTTTCAGGCTGCTGGGGAACACTGCTGGCTCAGCAGAAATGCCTGTTTATGCTATGGACAGGGTTGTCTGTCTAATGGCTGGGAGTCTCCCTGTGAGGATGAGAAGGTGGATGGGTATTGATGCTTCTGGAAAGAGGCAGTGCAAGGCAAGTAACTTCTGAATGTTTTGGCAAGTGAACAGAGGGAGAGCACAGGCTGGCATTTTAATGACTAGGAATGAAGTGTGCTCCAGAATCAGTCCAGATCTGTTGAGGGTGTTTTTCAGGGCAGAAAGTGTGTGCAAAACCTTCATGAACCCTCAGACCCCTTCGCCATGGGTTTTGTCTCTTTGTTGGAGTGGTTTTCACCTTCTCTGTCTCCTCAGAGCTGTCTGTACTTTTCTATTCGATTTTTTTTGTTATTGTTGTTTTTTCTGCTTCACAGAAGTATGAGAGCTATCTGTAAGACTGAGTTAAGGGCTTTCCTCAAAATTATTATCCTGAAGAACAGAGGTCCACAGAGAACATTAAGCTTGTTACAAGATGTGAGAGAGGTTGGTAAGTCAGGAGGACAGGATGGAAAACATTATTTGGTTGCAAGTAAGTGCCTTCTTCCAGGTGCTGGAGAACAGTACAAAGATTGGCACTTCGTACATTAATCAAAGTCAGAAATTAAGTCCTTCAATTTAATGACTCGGGCTTTGTGCCTGTGCAAATTTTCTAATCACAGAAGAAGCGAAGGCAAATACTATTATCAAAGGCTCAGGGCTGCTCCATAAGTCAGCCAGGCTTCTTTGTGCTATCAGCACATCCAAAGATAAGAATGAAATCTCCTCAAAGCACATATCTGAAGTACAGTGTAATAAGTGGTGTTGTTGGAGCGGCCTGAAAGCAGTGGCAGCTAGATTAACCATTCCTTGCTTTAATAAGGACAGGGAAATACCTCTATACTTGGTCTGCTAAGGCTCAGAGGGAAGGGTTTTCCCCTGTTAGGGCTCTCTGCTGTCATTTGACAGGGAGAATTCAGGGAAATGTGAGCAGTTAGCAGTATAAAGAGGAGGGTGGGTTTTGTAGGTGGATTGCCAAAGTCCTGCAAGAGGGGGCTTTTCTTTGTACTGCACCCCTCCTGCCAGATGCTGGCTCCAAGGACAGTGCTGGGCAGGATTTCCCAGGCTCTCTCCATAGGTACCCTCTGAGCTTTGCCTGGAGGGGCACAGTGAGGCTCATCATATTGGTGTCCTTTGTGGCCTTGATGCAGGAGTTCGATCGTTGTGAGAGTCTTAAAAAAATAAAATTAAAAAATAAAAAAGGCAGAGAAGGTCCAAATTTCTTTTCAACAAGCAGCAAAAGGGCAGATGTCCATGTGTGTGCCCAGGCACATGTTCAGCCTTTCCTTTGCTGCGGTGTTTGTGCAGGAATGGGCACAGGTTCAGTGCTGAACTCCTGTACTTGCTAAGCTGAAGACCTGTGCTTGGGCTTGTTATCTTATTCACCAGTGAATAATCTTATTTAATTGTCTGAAAATTCAAGAGACCAGAATAAGCTTGTGTCTAAATTTTTCGTTAAAAATACTGGACCCTTTTGACCTTGGGTGGTACAAAGCCTCCAGGATGCTGCAACCCATCCAAAGGTGGAGATTTCAGGGCAAGGAAACTTATGCAGCCCAAGTCTGCCCTGAGACTCTGGGGGACTCATTATGTTTGTATTTGCCAAGGTTGTGTAGGTAGTTTTTTTTCCTATGGCTTATTATTCAATGCCAGTCTGATTCATACTTTCAGCTACTTGTCATTTTTTGTGATTAAATTCCTTAGTGGTGATAAGGTCTGGAGAAAAACAAAGATAACAAGACAAGACTAGAATGTGCTCGTTGCAGTCTTGCCCAGTTTAGGGATATTTCCCAAATTGTTTCTTTTTCAGATTAGCTTGAAATGAGCTTTTCCTCTTG